TAAAACGAATGTTTTAAATAACGATCATTATTAAAAACTATCGTTTTTCAAAACGATCGTTTTAATGAAAATTGTCGTTTCGTTAACGACGACCCTTCGTTAAAGATCGTTAACGACGACCCTTCGTTAACGATCGTTAACGACGACCCATCGTTAACGATCGTTAACGAAGAGAGGAAACTGACCTGAAGGCCATCTTTACTTATCATTGAGTAGTTGTTATGAAAATATCAAGAAGTTTTAGCTCCCCCACAACTTTTTAACTTCATGTATAACGACATTCAATAAAGCTCCATCTAATTTTTTTTTACAAAACGATCGTTTTCAAAAACGATTAACAACCCTATGACCCCTGATATTTTTTACATGGTTTCTCTGTAATATTGACTCTGATTTCTAGTACAGACACAATTGTGGAAATTTTGAGATTTAATGTCAGGAAAAACGACGATATCTTCCACACAATTATTCAGATGTATAAAAGTTTAAATGGAGGGTCAAATAAAATTACAATGATATTCCCTTGAAATATCTTCTTCCCATGCTCTGTAATAATTTTTGGTGTAATCATGATTCCTTTGTATTGAGAAGATTAAAAACCAAATATATATATATTTATACATATATATCAAGTTTCTCAGAGATTGTCAATCTGTCCCAAATATTAATACAAACATGGCATATATAGTTCTTACTTTCTCCAGAGCTAGATCTCAAACTTTCTAACTATCTAGCTACAGGGTGGTCTTTCTAAAATTTATAAAATTTATTTCCAATTTAATTAAATTTTAGAAAAATGCTCCAAATTTGGGTCCCCCTTTTATTGGTTAAACCGCAATCATTACAAAAGAAAACTACATAGTTTTCGCTGATGGAACATTGATTTCCAAAAAATTAAAAATTAAATTTTTTGGAAACAAAGTTTTAAATTTCGATAAACACCCTGTGGTCATCTGACGTCCAGTACAATAAACTTGATCCTTACACCCAGATAAACCTAATGTATAAATAGAAGTGTAAGATGACCCTCTTGCATCAACTGGGTTTAATGAAAACCATTTGAGATCCAAGGTCTCACGCAAACAAAGATGAGAATTTTGCCAATTACTTCTTAAATACTTAATCTGTAAACAAGAGCCTCATTGTTTTAAAATGTATATGCCTAGGGCTACAAAAAACAGTGAGAGAGAGTTAGTGAGCTAGAATAACAAGGCGTTGCTACACTTTCAAGTTGACCCAGTCTTGAAAATTGATGCCACTTTGTATAGCTGTCTGGTCTCTCTGCAACACCTGATAACCCCCCCCCCCCCAACACTTACTTTCCGATATCTTGTAATTTGAAGAAACCATTTATAGGTTTCAAACTAGTCTCGAGGGGTCTTCTTTATAGAAGGAGCCAGAGAGATCCAACGGTGTGACATCAAATGAATTTATTTTTATGGTCCATAAAATGGATAAAAGATAGTTGGAATCGGATATTTGTTCAGGGCCTAGAATGACTGCAAGAATACCATTTACTGGTATTAAGAAGTGGTTGAGAGGGTTTGGTGCATCTATGTAGGTTACCGGGTTTCCAGCAAATAAAAACATGCATAAATTTTCTTTTGTATTTTCAAAATTTTTGCTCTCCAAGACTGCATTAGAAGTTTATTATGTGATAATTATGCAGTAAACTGTTTTGTTTCAAAAGTCATCAAAGTAAAATTTCACATTTTTTGTGAAAATGAATTAAGTAAAAAATGGGAAAAAGATGCAAAATTTTGCAAAAAATATTTATGCTCTAAAATAGCTTAGCATTAGAAGTTTATTATATCATAATTATGCAGTAAAATATATTATTTCAAAAGAAGTACAATTCAAAAACTCTGGACTTTAAGCAGTGTAATGGATATATACTTTTAAATCAGAATTTAATTACATTTTCTTATAGTTTTTTTTATTCAGTCTATCTGAACTTACTCATTCTTTTAAACTGGTATCCTTTCTCTTCTGCATTTATTGCATAAAAATATGAATTTAAATATTTCAACTATAATTTTTTTAACAATAAAATTATAGCATAAGGAGCACTGTTTGGGAATACATTTTAATCCTTGGGATTAACCATTACTTATCGAAACATAACAGTGTCACGTGGATTTAACGGTTCTGTCAATATTTCAGAAAGCTGTGACTTCCGACCACAATTTGACCCCTTATACAAAATTTTATCTCCTTTTTTTGTTGGCATATACATTTTGAATGAAAAGTATAAAATAAACAAATCTGTAAGTTTAAAGATTGTTGAAATATAGACGAAAACACGTTTGATTTCAAATAAACGAAACAGGATGCTTCTCTTAGTGGTTAGTTCAGTGTGGTGTAGTAGCCATTCATATTTTGAAGACTTTTTCATTGAAGATTTTAACAATAGTTGGCAATTCAGAGTTTTCAATTTTCACTGAAACAACTAAAGGTATCCATTTAGTTTTAATTAGATTAAGGTTGAACAAATATGCAACAAATGAAAGGAAACTTGTCTCCAATCCAAGTTGAGGATTTAGTTTGCTTATAAGCTTATGGGGGCTTATGGCAAAAAATAAGCGCTTTTGATCGCTACTAATCTTAAATTCCGTCTGTTGCGTCTATCAGGAGAAAATTGTTAAAAACGACGTATACCGATGAACTTACTGTCCATACAAATTGAGAAAGTTGCAACATACGACTAGGATCGTAGAAAAATCAATTTGATATCAAACAAATCGTTGAAATATTAAAATCTTTCGACATCGATTATTTTTCGACGCATTCGATTTTAGTTAATGTTTCATAATGTTTGTTATTTGTTTATATGCAATGCACTTCAAACGACGTTTTTTCCGCTAGGTGTCTCTGCCACGTGAAATCATTCAAAGCATCAAAAGCAGAGACACCAGGCGGCCAACTATTTCGGCGTTTTAAGTGCATAACAAATACAAATATTATGAAATATCAACTATATAGCAATGCGTCGAAAAATAATCGATGACTGTAGGTTGTCATATCTGAATGATTTGTTTGAAATTAAATGGATTTTTTTACGATCCGAGTCGTATGTTGCAACTTTCTCAATTTGTATGGATGTTACGTCCTTCAGTATAAGTCATTTTTAACAATTTTCTCCTTATAGACTTAACAGATAGAAGTAAGATTAGTAGCGATCAAAAGCCCTTATTTTTTGCCGTAAGCCTATACCCCCTTTCATTTTTCGCGAACACTCCCTTTAGTAGCTTGAATTTGAGTCCCTGCGTATCATTTAGAGCCAGGTGGGTTGTGTCCCATGGTTGACTCTGACAGTGGACAGATTGTACCTGGATAGATACGGTTCGAGAAATTGTTATGAAGTAGGTCTTTTCTACACACATTATTTAGTTTTAATCTCACTGACCTACCAGGTATGTCCACAAAGGGTATCTGCGCTGAGGATAAAAAGGGAGGGGAGGCCTAGCTTGTAGGGACAATTAGGGTCTTCTAGAAGGAGGGGGAAAAAAGGGTATAGATAAAAAGGGAGGGGAGGCCTAGTCTGTAGGGACAATTAGGGTCTTCCCAAAAAGGGAGGGGGGAAGGAAAGGCTTGGCTTACAATTCAAGCAAGTAATNTTACTCTTCTTGGCAACCTTCTCTTCACTTTTCTTCTTTATCTTACACAATTTTATTTCAACCCAAACATCAAAAGACCTAAATTTCAGTTTCTATTTGTTCAAAGGTTTTTGAAAATTGGTTTGTCAGTTTCTAAAACAACATCCTTGCGGTGATCTGATTTGCTTTTGAAAGGTTTAGATAATTAAATTAGAACATTACTGATTATAAAGGTATAAAGGGACTAGAGACGTATTTTTCAATGACACCTTAATTACATGAATGGCAAATCTGAGTCTCAATGGTCCCCTTCAAACAATGAGGAAGATATCATCGTTTTTCTATCTAAAATTGTTTAGAATTCTGTAATTTTCCTTCATTGTTTCTGAAGAATAAATTCGCAATAGTCTTAAAGAGAAGCTATGATAAAAATAATTGATTCTTAGGTTTAAATATATCACAATCATTGTTGACCAATGATCAGTAAAAGTTTCATTTCTATGAAGGTTGGAGAGTGGATTAATGGTTTGATTCTAAGATGGTTGGAGAGTAATTAAATGGTTCAATTCTAGAAAGGTTGGAAAGTAATTAAATAGTTTGATTCTAGGAAGATTGGAGAGTAATTAAATGGTTTAATTCTAGGAAGGTTGGAGAGTAATTAAATGGTTCAATTCTAGGATGGTTGGAGAGTAATTAAATGGTTTAGTTCTTGGAAGATTGGAGAGTAATTAAATGGTTTGATTCTAGGATGGTTGGAGATGGTTTAAGTCTAGGAAAGTTGAAGCGTAATTAAATGGTTTAATTCTAGGAAGATTGGAGAGTAATTAAATGTTTCAATTCTAGGAAGGTTGAAGAGTAATTAAATTGTTTAATTCTAGGATGGTTGGAGAGTAAATAAATGGTTTAATTCTATGAAGGTTGGAGAGTAATTAAATGGTTTAATTCTAGGAAAGTTGGAGAGTAATTAAATGGTATAATTTTAGGAGCGTTGGAGAGTAATTAAATGGTTGAATTCTAGGATGGTTGGAGAGTTATTAAATGGTTTAATTCTAGGATGGTTGGAAAGTAATTGAATGGTTTAATTCTAGGATTGGTTGAAGAGTAATTAAATGGTTTAATTCTAGGAAGGTTGGAGAGTAATTAAATGGTTTAATTTTAGGAAGGTTGAAGAGTAATTAAATGGTTTAATTCTAGGAAGGTTGGAGAGTAATCAAATGGTTTATTTCTAGGAAGGTTGGAGAGTAATTAAATGGTTTGATTCTGGGAAGGTTGAAGAGTAATTAAATGGTTTAATTCTAGGAAGGTTGGAGAGTAATTAAATGGTTTAATTCTAGGAAGGTTGGAGAGTGATTACATGGTTTAATTCTAGGAAGGTTGGAGAGTGATTACATGGTTTAATTCTAGGAAGGTTGGTGGAAAACTAGAGAGCAGAGTGATTAAATGGTTTGATTATCTCTGGGCGAATAAGAACTCAATGGATGAGGAGATGGTTCTAAATATGCTACCTGAGAAACTCAAGGTTAGATTTAGGGTTTCCAATCGGAATTCTGTTGCAACTGTTCTCGAGTTGCCCGGAGTTTCAAGGCTCACAATTAAAATCCACTTGCGAAGAAAACTCTAGTAAAATTTTAATGTATATTTTGATAAGTAAAAAAATTATATGATTTTACGCGCATATTTGTCTTTATTTGATTTAATTGTTTGTCAACCATCGGTTATTTAAAGGGACCGTTCACTTATTTGGGTGATTTCAGGGTAAACTAAACAGCCTTTCCAATCAAATTCTGAACGAAAAATCTGCTTTTTCTCCGGCCACAGTTGTCTTTGAAAAGTAAGACTATTACCAGTCAAGAGCGAATAGGCTGCTTAGTTTACCCTGAAATTACCCAAATAAGTAAATGGTTCCTTTAAGGTTCAACAAAAAAGGTTGAGTCCAATCTGTTTCTACGATAATTTGACATTTTACAGAGAGACATTTGAGTTGCATGTTAATAACTACAGTAGTTTTCTCTTTATATTATAAAATATATATATACGGAGTTTGTAAATTAAATGTTTCACACCAATTTATCTCGTAAAATAATCCAGACAAGTTTTTAGGAACAATTCAGTTAAAAGTTACAAACTCTTTGGTTTTCTGGTTAAAGAGGCTGTAATCGTAATTCAAGTGACATTCCACTATAGTTCCAGCAGAAGTAAATATTTCCATTTACTGATAGCTCCAATTGAAGGATTCATAACTCCTATAATTGAATAATGCGATAGATAAAAAGATAGCTGCTACCGCAATACTATTTCTATTGGTTCAGAATAACAACAAACACATGACTGAACCCTGATTGGATGAGGCGCTAATTCATACAGGAGTGATTCTGTGCAAAGATGTTAAAGCTGAATAATATTGTGGAAGATATTGTCAATTTCTAGGTTCAAAAATATGTGTTTGATTAAACGTTGGCTTTGCTGCAGCAGAACGGCGCAATTCGCTTTTGAAGTGAAACCACAGTTCAAAATAGTTAGTTTTCATAATTATAAATCCGGATATCTAGTTCATACTTGATCAGGCTGATTTTATAACTGAACCGTGTAAATCGGGCTTAGCTATCTTTGAATTGAGGGTCACTTGAAATTACGTTTACAGTCCCTTAAACGTCACTCAAAAACGTTTACCCTCTTGTTTAGGCTGAGATAGCACTCCATGTGCACCTAGAGACCCTGCAGAAGGTTAAAATATTCCAGGTAGAGTTTCCATTCGCAAAATGCGAAATTATGGCTCAAATATTTATCCTTAGCAGCCTTACATATCTGTTGCAAATTCAAGATTTATCTTCTTTCATGCCACTGCATTAAATCGCATCTTTTTCCAGCATCTCTGTTGTCAAGGTTATCAGAAGAATGATACGAATTGTTCTTATCATAATATATATATAATATTTGGACGTACAGCAATTGTGCATTTTCTCAAAGGCTACATTTTGATAATTATCAACTGAACTTATTTTTTATCAGTATAAAATGGACCGTAAAGGAAAAATGAAAGGGGGTATAGGCTGAAAGCTAATCAATATAGCTCTTGATTACGACCCATGAAAGTTATATCAGATGTTCCTGTCTCGAGAAATTGATATAAAACTGTGTCAAATTTATACAAAAATTCATTTATATATATACAATTTTGTATGGAAATAGTAAGTTTAAACAGATTATATTCAGCAAATATGCAACCAATCTGAAAACGAAGATATCCCAAAGAAACCTAATTTTTATGTAACTTAGGTTTTCTCCAATTATTATTTTATAATTTTTATTTTTAATTTTTATTGATATAATTGATAATATTATTTATAAGGATGTATTACGTCACCTGAACTCCCACCAATGGTAGTGCAGTATAGTGGTCACATGTCTGAATATGATCTATTTAAATCTATAACACCTTTCATTTTTCCTTTACAGACCCTTTAAAGGCAATTTTTAACAAAATTTAACCAAACTTTCAAGAAATAGATTAAAAATATGTTACACATGGAAACACTTATTTCAGGATTGTGAGAAGGGTCTGCTAACAGATCTAGTCCTGAAACTCAAGCTCCAGGTATATATGATAACCCAGGATAAATGAATTTATTGATTGATAAAATAATTGAGTTCCTGAATCTGATGGATAAATTGATTACTTGATTAGTTGATTGAATGAATAAATGTTTAGTTAATATTTTGTAAGTGATTAATTGGTTGATTTTTTGTCGGAAGATGATCCCTGTGTTTTAGTCAGAACAGAACATGGCGGAGAGATCTAAGCAATTCAGCTGATTCAAGAGTTTCCACATTCTTGATAAATTTATATAAAATTTTTAGAGTTATTTAATAAACTAAAGACGTTGAACGTACTTTATCGTTATTTGAGCATAGATGAATTGGTGACCCCAAGCTCCTTTTCCTATAACTTCCGACTGAACTGTTTTTTCCCACTATAGAAGTGTTAAGCTTCATGCTCAAGTGATAATGTCTGAAATCGGTGAAAATGTTTTGCCCATCTGAGTTCAGCTCTTAGGACCTTCTGAACACAGTGTCTGTCAAAGTGCATGCATTTTTGAACTGATTCCGCTGAGGCACAGTTCATTCAAACTAAAGCACAGTTTGCTCTAAAGTTCTACTTCTGTGATTCATCCTTCAACCAAGAGACTGCAAACCAGGTTCTAGATACCGTTAAATCTTCTCACTCTGATGAACCTTGTGAAGCCCTAAAGAGACTTTGCTGAAGCTGTTTGCCCTCAATGATTTCCTGATATGCAAGGCTATTTCCAACCTGCCCTTGTATGGCAACATAAAGTCTTCTTAGCTCAGGTCAAGTATGTTAGCCCTCCTCCCCATTGGTCAAAAACAGTGTTTTTTCCTCTGTGGAGCTTTCCTGCAGCTGCGGAGCTGCAGATTTCAACTCGGTTTCTCACCTACCGGACCTCTGGTCTTGCTTGGTCTTCGTTCTGTTCCAAAGTAAGATAGTGGTTTCTCAGTCTCAGAGGCTATATATGGAGCTGCTCTCGCCATACCTGGAGAACTCCTAGACAGAACAGAATTGCCCAGCTCCCAGTTTCTCAGCAAGATGGAAAAAGCAATAATAGGTTTTTCTATTTCTCTGCCTCTTAATGCTTAACCCTTATCTCTGTCTGAGCTTCCTGCCTCTCTGAAGAATTCATAGTTTCTGTTTGTCCATGAAGCCAACCTTCCCTTGAATCCTTTATACCTTGGTCCTTACCTGGATGTTGGAACAAGTGGAACAAGTTTTTCCACCACTTCACAAGAAAAAACTTGTTTTAAAGGATCTTGCTTTTTATCTGAACTCTGTATTGCATTGAACTAGCTGAGAAGATCTTGCTTTCCTTTTTCCAAACTCTATATTAAATTGTTTAATCATGAGTTGCATCTGACTAAGCAAANGCCGGGGAGGGGGAACATCTTTGAAGCCCCCATCTCTAATATCAAGAGATTTGCCTTTCAACTTTTCTTGTTCTTTTTTATTTTTTCTTCTTGCTTCTTGTTTTTGGTTTCTACAATTTAAAGCTCTCCAAATAGTTTTTTGGGAATTAAGTTGTGGAGCAGGTAGGGGAGAGATAAGGAGGTTTGTAGGAGGAAGGATATAAGGGATTGCTCCCTTTTTCCCTTCAAGTTATAATCTTGCAGACTTAAGCGGAATTTTAAGGAAATAACTGCACCCCTTTTGCAAAATTGGGAGTTGTAAGCCTTAAAGCCCCATTGAGAGGAATGTTCCTCAGCAGTCTAGTCCTCACAGCTGGTCGAGTAAAAAACCAGTATCATTGTGCATGGCTTGTTTACCCATCAGGAGTTAAACTCCTTCTTTCAGCAGCACCAGGCTGAAGATTATTCTATATTACATTAGTAGGATAAGACATGTGTGCAACTAAATGCAGAGCTCCCCCAAATTGTAAAGCCAAGACCACTTTGAGAGAGGTCTGTTCTCTTCTGAGGACGGTAAGCAACTGCGATAAATATATATAGATTGTTTAAAGTTAGTTAATAAACTATAGACGTTGAACTTTGTCATTATTTGAGAATAGCCAAAATTATTCAATTAATTGATTGATTGACTAGGTGTTTGAATGCATAAGTGATTGTTTGATTAGTTGATCAACAGGTATTTGGAAATGTACATATTATCAAACAGGAAAAACTAGATTGAATGATTGATAATTGATGGATTGGTTGGCTGATTCATTTAACTATTTATTGATTGATTGATTGAGTGATTGTCATGTATTCTCCCCTGGTGACTATGTATGTTGAAGGGAATATTGGAAAGGAATATTATTATTAAACAAGGAAAACTAGATTGATTAATTGCAAATAATTGATTAATTGATTGATCGGTGAATTTCTAGGTATTCTCCCCTGGTGACTATGTATGTCGGAAAGGGGATGTTGGAAAAGAAATGTATATTATTAAACGAGGAAAACTAGATGTTGTTGCAGATGATGGACTCAAGGTTAGAATTTATATCCTCATTTTTTTCATTAATTTTCTATACTTTTTGAAATTGAGTTGGTGAAAGGCATGTCCATAACGTAATGTACATTTTTGGTAGAATTCTTTAATTATCATCATTTTATATTGTATCTATCCCACACATTTAACTTTTTGGTTCATGATTTTTTGCTATGTATGATGTCCAAATTGTTTTTGAAATTCAAAACTCTAGATCATTAAGGAGCTTAGTTTTGATCCTCTAAGAGCTAAGCTTTGATCCTCTAAGAACTAAGCTTTGATCCTCAAAGAGCTAAGTTTTGATCCTCTTAAGATCGAAGTTGTGATCCTCTAAGAGTTAAATTTTGATCCTTTAAAGCTAAGTTTTTATTCTATAAGAGCTAAGTTTTATTATAAAAGAGCTAAGTTTTGATTCTTTAAGAGCTAAGCTACATTAACCCATTAGTGACGAGACAAATAATTCTTTCTGATCTTGCTGAAATTCACAGGGTTAACTCATTATACTGTCCATAGAGTAGATTTAAAGTTTCAATTTTTTTCAATGAAGGGTTGTGTAGATACAAAACCCGGCACATTTTGTCCGTCTCGGCATTGGTCAAAATTGACAGCCGGTCAATTTTGACTGCACCCTATAGACGATACTCGGCATATCTAAAGGAAGGGCGGGAATGAAACAGGACAACATTTGGTTTAAAAATGAAGGCGCTAAAAAATAAAAACCTTACCCGGTCAAAATTGACTGTCTCGTCACTAATGGGTTAAGCATGATTTTGTGTCAAATCAATGCCTTTTATAGTGCCATTAGTTCAGCAATTTCTTTCTGGTTCCTCTAATCTGTATTAGATTCAGATAAGATGATTCAAATTTATTGTTTAAAAACTGTGATTGTGTAATAAATACTGTGGCAGATTCCATTGTTGCACCTATATCAATTACATTGCACATTGTCTGTAAATCCTAATGTGCTTATCAGTAACTTTACGCAAATCTTGTATTGCGATTAACCTAACCTAGATATATCTATAAATAACTATGTCGAACTATATTGTGATTAGCTTAACTACGTTTGTATATAACAACACAAAACTTGTAATTAAGCCTATTTAACTTAATTTTTAACCTAGAACCCACATTACACTCAGTTGGAATAGACTCTTGAACAATTAATAAGTAAAAGTTCCTTGTTTAGCTAACAAGACACGTCCTGAAATCACTTCTTGAAAGATAGACATAGATTGGGCATTGTTTAGATAAATCATGTCTGTACTGACATTGATATTTAGAGATTGTGTCCTTATTGACATTCGATAGTTTATGGTTCAGATATCATGTCTGAGTTGACATTGATAGTTTATGGTTTAGAGATTGTGTTTTGATTGACATTGATAGTTTATGGTTCAGAGATTGTGTCTGAGTTGACATTGATAGTTTATGATTCAGAGATTGTGTCCATATTGATATTGATAGTTTATGGTTTAGAGATTGTGTCTGAGTTGAAATTAATAGTTTATGGTTCAGAGATTGTGTTCTGATTGACATTGATAGTTTATGGTTCAGATATTGTATTTGGATTGACATTGATAGTGAAGTGTTATTGTACTGATTAGCTCTTATGCCTCATAGACCAACGAGAGGGATTGAGTTGTACCTGGATTGATCCGGGTCTGAGAGACTGTTATTGCGTAAGGCATTTACTAAATGTGTAATCCTCCATTGAAAGAGGAACAATTCACAATGATACACTTTGTTTTATTAATAATGTGAAAGCTAATGTTTTGTCCTAGCCTGAAAAATGGTTTATTCTAAGAATTACAACATTGTATTCCTGCAGTGTAAATGTGCAAAATTATCAGTTTTTAGATTATAATCCTGGCTATATAATTCGAATAATTTATTATAAACAGATTTCAAGGGTATTGTTGTGAATAATACATGCCACTCTGCAGCATGAAATTACGCCTATTCAAATTTGAATATAAGATAAGACCAGGATAATTTTTCTTATTTGTAAAATAAACTTTATAACTTTACTGCTTTTGGGAAGCATTTCATTTGATTATCCTTCGTCATTTAAAGGGCTGTGCAATTTCAGATGATTTTATTTAAATTAAAAAAATTAGTCACTAAAACTAATTCACATTGAAATCGTTACCTTCATAAGCAAAGGGGACTATAGGATTAAGATATCTGTAATTTCAGATATATGTATTTCTACGTGACTTTTTATCCATATATTTGTATCCTGAATCAGACATGGTAATCTATAAATGAGAGAAACTTTAAATGACGTATATAGTTCCTAAAAATAATTTTATTATGTTCCAAAACTCTTAATATTGTTGACAAATATTTTAATTATTTCTGACAAACACTCGACCATTGAAAATATTGTATACATATTTGCATCAAATTGTGTCTAAATATTGTGCTTTATTCTTAGAAACACAAATACCAACTTAACCCACATTTACACTCTGCTCTCTCGATTTGATTGAGGGAGGGAGTGTAGAGCCGTCATTATCCCCGCATTGCAACATCCGAACCACCAAACCCTGTCTATCAACATCCGAAGTTCTGAACCTCACATCAGATGCTCTCCAACCATGCATATGAACATCCGAACCTCCCAGATGCTCCCCAACCCCACATATGAACATCCCAACCTTCCAGATACTCTCCAACCCCACATATCAACATCCTAACCCTCAGATGCTCTACAACCCTGCATATCAACATCTGAACCTCCCAGATGCTCTCAAACCCCCCATATCAACATACAAACCTCCCAGATGCTCTTCAATCCTGCATATCAACATCCTAACCTCCCAGATGCTCTCCAACCCTGCATAACAAGATCCAAACCTCCCAGATGCTTTCCAGCCTCCCATATCAACATCCAAACCTCCCAGATGATCTCAAACCCCCCATATCAACATCCAAACCTCCCAGATGCTCTTAAATCCTGCATATCAACATCCTAACCTCCCAGATGCTCTCCAACCCCCTATATCAATATTCAAACCGCCCAGATACTCTCCAACCCCGCATATTTACATCCAAACCTAACAGATAATCTCCAACCTCAAATATCAACATCCGAACCTCCAAGATGCTCCCCGAACCCACATATCTACATCCGAACCTCCCAGATACTATCCAATCCTGCAAATCAACATCCAAACCTCCCAGATGCTCTCCAACCCTGTATATCAACATCCAAACGTCACAGATGCTCTCCAACCCTGTATATCAACATCCAAACCTCACAGATGCTCTCCAACCCTGTATATCAACATCAAAACTTCACAGATGCTCTCCAACCCTGTATATCAACATCCAAACCTCACAGATGCTCTCCAACCCCGCATATCAACATCCAAACCTCAAAGATGCTCTCCAACCCCGCATATCAACATCCAAACCTCACAGATGCTCTCCAACCTCGCATACCAACATTCAAACCTCACTGATGCCCTCCAACCCTGCATATCAACATCCAAACCTCACAAATGTTCCCCAATCCCGCATATAAACATCCTAACCGCTGATGCTTTCCATTAAACTGTTGATTTGTGGGACTGGTGGCGGCTCTTCACCCCTACCCCTATTTGATCTTAGAGAAGGTAGACAAAACGAAAAGTAATGGTAAAATATTTATAAGATTTTTTGTGACGTATGTATCCTGTAGACTGGATACCTGTATGTAATTATCAAGACACACCCTGTAGATTGGATATCTGTATTCAATTATCAAGATGGATTTCTTCGTTATTATTGAGATACATCCTAGGCTTGGTATCTGTATTTAATGACCAAACCTCACCCTGTGGGCTAGGTAACTGTATGTAATTATCAAGATACATACTGTAAGCTAGGTTACTGTATGTAATTATCAAGATACATACTTGAAGCTAGGTATCTGTATGTAATTATCAGCTGGATATCTGTATGTAATTATCAAGATACATACTGTAAGCTGGATATCTGTATGTAATTATCAAGATACATACTTGAAGCTAGGTATCTGTATGTAATTATCAAGATACATACTGTAAGCTGGATATCTGTATGTAATTATCAAGATACATACTGTAAGCTGGATATCTGTATGTAATTATCAAGATACATACTGTAAGCTGGATATCTGTATGTAATTATCAAGATACATACTGTAAGCTGGATATCTGTATGTAGTTATCAAGATACATACTGTAAGCTAGGTAACTGTATGTAATTATCAAGATACATACTGTAAGCTGGATATCTGTATGTAATTATCAAGATACATACTGTAAGCTAGGTAACTGTATGTAATTATCAAGCTGCATACTGTAAGCTGGATATCTGTATGTAATTATCAAGATACATACTGTAAGCTAGATATCTGTATGTAATTAGCAAGATAAACCATGTAAGCTAGATATCTTTATGTAATTATCAAGATACGTACTGTAAGCTAGATATCTGTATTTAATTATCAAGATACATACTGTAAGCTGGATATTTGTCTGTAATGATCAAAACAAACCCTGTAGGCAAGTTATCTGTATGTAATTATCAAAATAAACCCTGTAAGCTAGATATATGTATGTAATTAGCAAGATAAATCATGTAAGCTAGATATCTGTATGTAATTATCAAGATACATACTGTAAGCTAGATATCTGTATGTAATTAGCAAGATACATACTGTAAGCTAGATATCTGTATGTGATTAGCAAGATAAACCATGTAAGCTAGGTATCTGTATTTAATTATCAAGATACACCCTGTAAGCTGGATATTTGTGTGTAATGATCAAAACAAACCCTGTAGGCAAGTTATCTGTATGTAATTATCAAAATAAACCCTGTAAGCTGGATATCTGTATGCAATGATCAAAATAAACCCTGTAAGCTGGATATCTGTATGTAATTAGCAAGATAAACAATGTAAGCTAGATATCTGTATGTAATTATCAAAATAAACCCTGTAAGCTAGATATATGTATGTAATTAGCAA